GTTGTTAGTTAGTTAGTAATGCAGTTAGAGTTAACTGCTTATATGATGTTCATGCTTGTGTATATAAACCAGTACATATCTCAGCAGTAAAAATATACAAGTTCTGCAGTATTTCAGTGTGCAAATTACCATTCCATCATGGTATCAATCGCCATAGATCTTGGGGTACTTTCTTTCGCTGCTTAAAGATCTTCTTGATGGAGTTCAACTCCAATACCAAATCATTCACTCACAAGAAAGTAAATACCGTTCTTGATGAGATGAATTTTCTCCTTTGGAAGCAGCACATTCTGCTCACCATTCGGTGCCACCGTTTGGAACGGTTTCTTACCGGTGTCGTGACAACTCCACTTGAAACAGTTGTTGATGATGATGTCATTACTCGAGTCAATGAAGCCTAGGAATATTTTGTTGCACAAGATAGTGCTCTCGCCTCATGGTTGTTATCAACCATTAACAATCATCTGCTTCCTCAATTTGTTGGGGTTGAAACTGCAACAGCCATATGGAACCCAGTTCTTCAATTTTTTGCCAATCGATCCACGACTACAGTAATGAGTCTTCATTACAAGCTTCAATCATTAAAAAAAGGAGTTGATAGTATGCGTACTTACCTTACTCGGGTAAAGGAGGCCTACGATGCCTTAGCTTCTTGTGGCAATGTTGTGCCTCAAGTCAAACACATATCAAGCATTTTGAAAGGTCTCCCTCAGGAATACCAACCCTTCATGGCATTTATAACCTCTATAAGGGAAACACTGTCCTTAGATAATATCTACACAATGCTTCATGATGTGGAGACTCAACTTGCAAGCTTTGATGACCAGCTGGAGACCTTACCTATGAGTGCCAACGTTGCCCAAGGGGAAAATCAAAATTCTGCAATATCGAGTTCAGGCTATGATCATCGACCTGGAACTCGAACTGGTGGCAGGGTTCATGGTAGGTCAAGACTGCATTGCCAGCTTTATGGGAAGATCGGCCATCTTGTCGATCGATCTGGCATAGATTCGATAAAAAAAATTCTTGTGTTACTACTGATCAAGGATCCAATCACTCGGATCGTAAGTCAGCTTCCTCTACTTACAATTCCACGTTGTCATCCTCTGATATTGGGTGCGAGTGTTGTGCAAAGCATAAGTCTAGTTTAACTATGGCTGGGCAACCACAAGCTCATGCATTTTCTATGTCTTCTGACCGTTGTATTGTAGATACTGGTGCCACGCACCATGTCACCTCAGACTCCAACAAAGTATTAAATGCCACTGAATTTCTTTGCCCAGGTAAACTGCTAGTTGGTAACGGTATGGCACTTGATGTAATTTCTACTGGTCACTCTCATGTTTGTGCTAATTCACGCATACTTTTGCTGAATAATTTGATGCTTGTTCCTCAAATAACCAAGAACCTACTGTCTGTGTTCAAGCTTGCTAGGGACAACAACGTATTACTAGAGTTTCATGTAAATAAGTGCTATGTCCGTGATGAGAAAACCAGAAATGTTCTACTTCAGGGTGAGGAGCATGAAGGCCTATACTCGTTTGCCATGAATAACAACTCCTTAATAGTGAATCTTGCTGAAGCCAACATTAGCTCAGTCTCTTCCTCTTTAGAAGATCTTTGGCACAGGAAACTTGATCACCCAACTGCTGAAACATTAGTGAAGATAGCTAAAGAAATAGGCATCAAAATACATTCTAATGTAAATAAGACCTGTGTAGCGTGTCATATGAGAAAAAGTCATAGACTGCCCTTTGTTGAATCCAATACATCAGTTGATTCTCCCTTCAATATTGTGTACTCTGATTTATGGGGGCCACCTTATGTGAAATCAAATGGATTTCACTTTTATGTTTTATTTGTAGATGATTTCACACGACATGCTTGTATATACTTGTTAAAAACGAAAGATGGAGTTGTGCTGGCATTTCGTATGTTTCAAAAACTCGTGGCAAATCAATTTGACAGCTCCATTAAAACCTTGCAGACTGGCTCGGAAGGTGAATTTCACACCCTATCACCTATGCTAGCCAGTGAAGGAATCTCACATCGATTAATATGCCCCCACATGTCTGAACAAAATGAGGTTGTCGAACATAAACATCGCCACGTTATTGAGCTAGCACTTGTTTTATTAGCTCAAGCATCTTTTCCAGTCCAATATTGGTCATATGATGTTGTTTCAGCATTCCACTTAATCAATTGCCTCCCTACTGTAGTACTACAAGGAGTATCTTCTTTCGAGAAACTTTATGGCAAGAAATCGGACTACACTATGATGAGGGTATTCGGCTGCCAATGCTTTCCCCATTTGAGACTATTTCAGAAGCACAAGCTCACTTTTAGATCTCAAGCCTGGACCTATCTAGGCATCAGTCCTCGACATAAAGGATTCCAATGCTTGGCTTCATATGGGAAAGTTTATATTTCTAGGCACGTTGTATTTAATGAGTTTATTTTCCCTTTTGCAGGACAATAAGCTTGTGAATCCTTGAAATCGCTTGAGTCTACAAAATCAGTACGTTGGTCCTCTCAACCGTTACGAGTTGTTGCTTGAAATATGCCATCCATTGTTAAACAACCTATTACAAATGATGGACTGAGTTCCGATTCAAGCGATGCTACAACAGGAAACGTTGGACCTCCAGACTCTAACGAAATCAATATTGGTACAAGTAACACTGAAGTCGACTATGCTCATGAAAGTACAAGTGCTGCTGCAGAATCTAGAAGTATCGCGCCAGTAATAGATGCGTGCAGCAGCCCTGCTGAACCCGATGCTGATTATCATCATCAAGACATTATTCCTGATTCCAGTGCTACGGGGGCCTTCATTACGTGTTCATCCCATGATGAAACGTAGCAGGTGTGGAATTTTTAAACCCAAAGTATTTTTTACTGCTGAAGAGGAGAATGTCCCAACTACAATAAATACAACACTAAAATCACAACATTGGTCTACTGTTTTACACGAAGAGTACAATGCCTTATGGAAGAATGGCACCTGGTCATTAATGAAACTCCCATAAGGAAGAACCACAGTCGGATGCAAATGGATATTTCGAATCAAAAGAAATTTGGATGGAACTGTACTTCGATATAAAGCCCCCGTTTAGTTGCTAAGGGGTTTTTTCAAACACCTGGTTTTGATTTTGGAGACACATTCAGTCCAGTAGTTTGTTTTTCTACATTCAACACTGTTCTATCAGTTGTTGTTTCTAAAGGCTGGGACCTTCGACACATTGATATAAACAATGTATTCCTTCATGGAGATTTAAATGAAAATATTTATATGCAGCAACCTCCTGGATTTGAGCAAGTTGATGAGAATGGCAAGCCTCTCGTGTGCAAGCTTCAATTGGCTTTGTACGGTCTTCGACAGGCACCTCGTAATTGGCATGTAAAACTCAAAGAAAGTCTGCTACAACTTGGGTTCACAGTGTCTCGAGCAGATCCTTCCTTGTTTATTAAACAATCAAGCAATGGATACATGTATGTACTAGTTTACGTAGACGATATAGTTATGACAGGGCAATCGTCTACACTAATTGAAGAGGTTGTATCACTACTACAAGCTCGTTTCTCTCTTAAGGATTTGGGGGACTTAATTTTTTTTTTGGGCATTGAGGTTCAGTGTATTGGTGGCTCGATCTTGTTGAGTCAAAATAAATACATCCTTGAGTTACTTGAGAAAGGGATGATGGCAGCTACAGAATGTGCTACACCTATGGTAGCTACGTGCAAACTTTCCAATGAAACAAGAAACTTGGTAAGCAATGCAAGTGATTACAGGAGTGTTGTAGGCTCATTATTGTATGCCTGTCACACGAGACCAGACATATCGTTTAGTGTAGCACAAGTTGCACAATACATGCACGCTCCACGTGAAGCTCACTTTGTTGTCGTTAAAAGAATACTTTGCTACCCTAAACTTTGGCCTAGTTTTTCACCTGTTGACAATGGACTAAATATAGTTGCCTTTGTCGATGCTGATTGGGGAGCTAGCGTTGATGATTGAAGATCCATAATTAGATATGGCGTGTTCTTGGGCAAATGCTTAGTTACATGGTGCTCAAAGAAATAAAAAATTGTCTCCCGATTGACAATGGAGGCCGAATATAAGAGTGTACCAGATACAGCTGCTGACATAACTTGGATAAATGATTTCCTAAATGACCTTGGTATTCCACATTGTCGTGAACCGATTGTATGGTGTGACAATACCAGCATAGTGGCTATGAGAGCCAACCTAGTTTACCCTGCTCAGTCCAAGCATGTGGACCTTGACGTGAACTTTGTTCGGGAAAAGGTGGCAGCTGGTCAATTGCGAGTTAGCTATGTCCCTGCAATGCATCAAATTGTTGATGGCTTCACCAAACCATTAGCTCGAGCTGCGTTTGAGGAGTTTAGATCAAAAGTATGTGTGCATTCCTTTAAACAAATGAAACAAGAAGAAGCAGGGAAAATGTTAGCAGTCTAATGTAAGTGAGTGTACAACTTATCATAACAGATTTGTAACTAAGTCATGCACGTGGCATTAGCTAAATGAATCATTTGTTAGTTAGTTAGTAATGCAGTTAGAGTTAACTGCTTATATGATGTTCATGCTTGTGTATATAAACCAGTACATATCTCAGCAGTAAAAATATACAAGTTTTGCAGTATTTCAGTGTGCAAATTACTATTCCAACAAAGTACATTTAAATTTTTAAGGATCGTCTCTTTACTTTTAAAGGTTCTCTTTTAAACTAACAATTCGTTAGTCTAGTGTATAAAACATTATATCCCTTAAACAATGCCAGAGGTTAAAATCCTGACAATTGTGATTGAAACAAATTGGATTGGGAAGGTCACCCTCGCCTGTAGTACCGATCTGGATTAGTCGATCAATAGATCGGACACTGATAGTTATACCAAAATAGATTTCCTCTTAAAATATATGATATATGGCGTGATACATTTCTAGAGTTTGTAGTTTTATGTTAAACGCTTGTTGCAGATTAACCATATAATTTATTGAAACCCCGACGAATTCAGATCCCATTCAACCAAAATTAATAAAAAATCGTAAACACTTGATGAAGATTAACCAAAGAATTTCTTAAAAACAATTCCCATACGAACTAAATTCAGCTAGGCAGGCAAGACAACAGATCTGCGAAAGCTTTGGCAAGTATAAATTGTCCAAAAAAACGAAAGTTTTGAAGGGGGGCGAACAGGGTATTCTTGCAGATTATTGAAACTCAAAGCGCAGTTTAATCAAAAGCCAGTTAGGATTTAAAATGCAGATCCACTGCCCTTTGTCTTCCCAAGCATCACATCTTTAGCTTCGTTGACTTTCGAGGCAAGGTAATGGCTACCACCTGCATCGGGATGGTTCGCAACCATTACTTTCCTATGCGCTTCCTTCACCTTGTCCGGTGTCGCATTCTCCCTGTTAAAAGCATACACTATGAGTGAATGTGCCTTTCATGTATGCTCAATAATCTGAAATCATGATACTAGCTCTCAGTCATTATTCCGAAAAGCCGATCAATGTTTTACGATCAAAATATCACAGATTCATAATATATTATTGCTTTACGATCAATGTTGAATAATCCGAAAAGCCCATTATTCTTGGGGATGAAGTTCATAAATGCTTCAGTCAAGTATGCTCAAGAATCCAAAAGCGTAACATTAGCTCGTAGATAGATATTAACAATATATAACACATCCATAATATACAATTGCCTTACTTCAGGATAGAAGTGGAACAAAACTTACCGAACACCAAGGATCAATGCGGCTTCTCTTCTAGTCATCATAGGTTGGAAACCACCATCGTAAAATTTTCGTATTCTAGGTTTTGGTGGTCTCGTCTTAAGTGCTTGCCAAGCCTGGATTCCATATCTACCGGCAAGAGCTGCTGTAGCAACTGCAAGTCCAGCCAAAAATGGTGTAGCCTGATGAACATCTAGAAACTCATTAATTAAAAGGCTATAATATATAGACTTTAATTGGTTTAAACAACAAAAGAAACAATTGATCCTCCATTGCAGCTAAATTTTAGTTCAACAGGTTATCACTCAGAATAAGAAGTTATTGAAAGTCGCATTGTGTCCTACTATGTTTTCCATATTCTTCAGTTAGTCTAAAATATTAGGGTCAAATACAAACCCGTATCTGATGCTCACCCCTCGAGTCCAGGTAACATAGGTTTTCAATGCCAACAAGCTATTAACTCCTCCATAAGTCATCTTTTTACTAATTCTTGAAGGCTCACACACAGCTCTGATAGAACTGACCAAAAGCCATAAAAGAAAAGCTGCCTTGACTCTTCATTTTTTTGTAAAGTATCCATGTCTGATGCATTTTTAGATATGAACATGGAGATATGATCCTTCAAATACATGAAAAAACTTTAAATATACATATATATACCCATACCAAACACATTCTCATATCTAGCACTCACATGAGCGATATTTTAAAAACCTAGAGTCATAGCAAAAACAAGAGACCAAAGTTTCTTAGCATTAAATTGAAACATTGACAACGAAAATAAGCTCTCTCTCATGAATTTCAAAACATAAGCTGAGACTGAACCTTCCCTTCATTCTTTCTCATGTGTACTTCAACCGCCAAACCCCAACATCATCGGAAGTTAATCAAATGGCACACTTCTAACTATCCTACAATCAAAGCGGCTTTTTTCCCGAACATAGATTTCATCAGCATTGGAAACGTTTTCTGATTATTTCGCAGCCTATAGTATTCCAACACGAGCAAGAGTGTTGGAAACATGTATTGTTTCAACATGGATGATAAGCTCAATTATTTGACATATATGTATGTATATATATATATATGCAGTGCATCCCGTCCTTCGTACCCATATCCGGATACTTAGGATATATGCCAAGCCTACACAAGTATAAGAAAAGAGTGAGAGAAACAAAGTACAAAGACTATGTAGATCTCCGTATGCTTAAAACTTAGAAATCAAAAAGGCCTGTTGTACTATCTTCAGAACACAAAAATAAATTAAACCCTAGAGTTTCACCCAAAAAAAAACATAACAGAAAAATAGCATTATAACAATCTTTCCCCACTGAGCTAATCCCTTCTTTAGGGCAAGTTAAGCTAAATGCATTTCAATCAACAAGAAAACTAAACAATAACATTTTCTATTGAGAAAAAAAGACATTCATATTAGGAAGCTACATCGCATCCATAGTGAAATATAATTCCTGAAACCAGTGAAAATTATGAACTTGCATAACCAAAATTCAGGATTTAATTAGATACATAAAATACATGTAAAGAAAGTTCAAACAAAAAAAATAGGAAAAAAATATAAACCACAGGAAAATGGGAAAATAAATACGAAAATTGAAATGGAATAAGATAAGGAATACAATGAGATTTAAAATTTTACCATTTCTTTTATGGGATATCGGGTTCGACCTCAATAATCGGAAGGCTTCCAAATTTCATTAAACAAACAGGAAAAAATTTGTAGAAACTGCTACGGCTTTCAGCTTAAGTCAGAGAAACCAGACATTGATCGAGTTTGAGTTTTTTTTTTTTTTAGATACTTCGGCTTTTGAATTGTTCTAGACCGGCTACAACCTTTTTAATAGTTGAAGTCGGTCCATCCGGTCTAAACTTTGTGAAAGTAGGAATGGCCATTTTTCATTTAAAAACAAATGCGGTAAACAACAGTGCTGGTCCCTTATATTTTTAGCCTGTTTAGTTTTAGTCACTTATTTTGAAATCATTTGGTTTTGATCACTTTTATTTTTGGTCCATCTTATTTTGATCACTAAACCGTCAACTCTCAATATTTTATTAACATGACACGTTAATAAAAGTAGTTAAAATTTAATTCAATTGTTGAAATTTTGAGGGAATATTGATTTGACCTTAAACTTTACATAAAATAATAACTTAACACTTAAACTTTATATAGAATATCAAATTGATCTTGGAATATAGTTAAATTTCACCTCGTTAGCTACTACTCATCGGCTTCGCTGTACATAATCTATTGTTGCCAACACTTTACACCGTCGACCGCCATCGTCAATGACTATTGGATCTCAAAATTTTCATTTCACCTTTTTCCAATCATCCCAACATAAATATAATATATGTTTTACCAAAAAATAAAATATAAAAAATTGAAAATTTTAAAAAATAAAACTACTAAAATGCAAAGCATATGTGTTATAACATCCAAGCACTCAGTTATACATATCTTCTGCTTTTTCTTTGTTGAGTATTGCTCTTTCTCGAGGGAATGTGAAGATTGCATTGAAAACACCGAAGAAAACCCAAAAAACAACGATAAGAAACATCAACTCAGCCTGTAAGTTTTTTAAGGTTCCATTATTAGGGTATTTGATTTGAATAAAAAAAAGATCTTGATAACATCCAATGGTGAAGTGGGCAGTGGTGGAATTTTTTTTATTAATTACTTATTTTTCTAATTGTGTATACGTAAAATTTTAAAAATTTTATGTTATTAACATACGTGTGTCAATCCTAACAAGCTATTTTGAATCCTTCATTGAAATTATATGATCGAAATTTACTTGATCTTAACGGGCTCTAACAGCTTTACTATCTAATTGTCACCATAGTAATCCCAAGATAATTTCTGTGGATAGAACTTGTAACACCTTTTACATGTATCTGTCTCGAATACGAGTTAGAGATGTCACATAACAATTACAAAATAGTATACATTTGAAAGTTGGTAAAATTTTGTTTCTTTAAAAAATTTCAATTTAACCTTTTTCACCAAAATATCTTAATCGCGTAAAATCAAAATACAATATTTTAACATTCAATCGAGTTTGGTTTCAGGCAACAACTTGGCAATTTAATACTATTTCATATACTAAGTGAAAGTGCCTAAAAATTGTTTAATGGTTCTTCCTCGTATGTCAAGTCTGGTTGAATCTCAATCTCCTCTGGTATATTTACATGTGAAAGATCCGAACAATAATTCTGAAGAATCGACACATGAAAAAACATTAGGAATCTTATCTATCTCTGGAAGTAAAACTGACTAATAGTCCACTAGAACAACTCTTTTCACAACCTCATACGAACCAATGGATCTCAGACTTAGTTTCCCTTTCCGTCCAAATCGTATGACCTTTTTCCTATGTGATATTTTAAGAAATACTTTATCACCAACCTGAAATCCTCTTTTCAAATATGAGTAAGAGTATGTTTGTCAACAGCTATCTTGAGGTTGTCTTGAATAAACTTTACCTTGTTTTTGATTTCTTTGATTAGATCAGGACTAACTATGTCTCGATCTTTGAGCTCGTACTAGTTCATAGGCGTTAGGCATTTTCTTCCATATAAAGATTCATAAGGATCCGTCTTGATACACTAGTAACTGTTGTTATAAGAAAACTCTGCTAAAGGCAAGTATTTTTCCCATGATCTTTTGAATTCGATTACACACGCCCTTAGCATATCTTCCAAAATCTAAATGGTTTAGTCAAACTGTCCATCTATCTGAGGATGAAAAACTATGCTGAAATTGATTCGAGTACCCATGGTTTTATGAAAAGACTTTCATAATCTCGAAGTACAGACACTCCATGTAATCGCACAATTTCTTTAATGTACAACTCAACATACTTCTCCATAGAGTAATTAGCTCGGATTGGGATGAAGTACGTCGTCTTGGTTAATCTATCAACAATCACCCAGATTTAATATTTCTTGTTGGGTTTCAAAGGTATCCCTATAACAAAATTCATCGTAACTCGTTCCCATTTCCATTAAGGAATGGAAATAGGTTTCAATAATCTAGACGACACTTGATATTCTACTTTCACTTGTTGACATGTCATGCATTTAGAAAAAAAACTTAATTATAGCTCTTTTCATGCCTGATCACCAATATCGACTCTTCATGTAATACCCCAAATTTTTGGATAGTGACCAAAATGTAAATTTTGAAAGTTTGATGGTCAAAGTAGAAAATTAGGAAATGTTTAGGGACCTAAGTGGTAATTTTTATCAATAATAATTTTATTTCATAAATGGATTTGGTTAGTGACAAAAATAAAAATTTTGAAAGTTTAGTGACCAAAGTATAAACTTTGGAAAAATTTAGGGATAAATATGGTAATTATAAAAAGTTACATATTGGCTTTGTAAATAAATAGTTACTTCAATAATAACGTTTTTGTGGGAATCATAATTTTAATACGGGTTTTGTATTAAAAGTTATAACGTAATGAAGCTCGAGGAAAAATTCGGTAAATTGGATCGAATAAAAAATTCAGGAAAATCTTAAGGATGATAAATTAGACCTCAAAATATTATTTAGACATTTTAAAATGTTGGAAAATAATATAAATCTTTAGATTTTAGGATTTAATTCCATGTTTATTATGGATCGTTGGATTAAAGTGACAATATTGTAATTTTTGGAAAAAGGCAAGGGTAAATCGGTAAAGTAAGATTTATTTTTTCCATCTTTGACTTTAAGAAGATGCTAGGGTTGAGGTTTCTTTGTTGGATGGTAAATATGAAGTTTCATTAAGTGTAAATTGTTCTTTTCCCAATTTAACGAATTTAATATTCATTAAAGTTTAAATTAAAAGGTAAATTAGCATGAAATTATCGAAATTTCTTGCCAATTTGTTATCATCTTCTCCATGTGCCGTAAGCTTCCTAAGGTAAGAGGAAAAAATTGATTTCCATTTTGAGCTTTTTTATTTCCATTTTGAGCTATTTTATTTGGATTTCAAGTTATGCCGTGAAATAGAAAAGTGATATATTCGAAAAACGCTATTTTTAGTACCAATTATGCTTGCTCAACTAGCTTGATTTAAAAAATCCCCAAATCTTAGGGTTTTTGTTCACACTAGGGTTCATGAAATTGATGATGAATCTTGATGTTCACATTAGGGTTCACACTAGGATTTATTTTCAAGCTTGATTTATGATTAAAACATGTTCAAACTTCTTAGAAAATGATTCTATAATTTTCAGCCAAAAGAGGAAACTGTAGAACTTTGTGTTTTGATGAGAGTTGATTAGGGCTTTGATTATAGAGTTGTTGTAAAGTTGTTCGGAAGTTGATTCGAGCAAAATCATGAAAACCTAGTTTTAAAGGTTAAAACATTCAACCATGGTATATTTGAGTGAGAACAATTATGGAAAATTTATTTAAGGGCTGGAAATGATGTAGGAAGTATGTTACAAGCCTTAGAAAAAATTGGGGACAATTATGTAATTTTTGGAAAGTTGGGGACATATTCAAAAATTTTGAAAAGTCATTGGTTGATTGTGTAATCAATCAATATTTGATGTACACTACTGGAAATTACTGTTCGAGGGATGAAATTGAAGTTAGAATGTGAAATTAAGCCATTTTGGAAGTTGGTAAAGTTTAAGTACAAAATGGTGAATATTGAGAAAGTTAATGGCTTAAGTGGTAATTTGTTATTATTGAGATATTGGGCTGTAAGTTTAATGTTGGAAATTTATTGGGCTTATTTGGCCTTGAATTGAAGAATTTATGAAAAAGGCCCATTTTGAATAAAAAAGAAAAGTTAAGATGAATTTTAAAAGAAATAAAAAATAGTAGTACTTTTGAGTATTATTATTATTTATAAAGGTTAGTAAGGATACTAACATTGTATTTTAGATTGGTATGTGTGATTATGGATGCTTGTGAGGATTGTAATCAAATTCGTGAGACAAGCAAACATGAAGACAAGGAAAAAGTTCAAGAATAGTCGGACTATAGTAAGGCATAATAGTGAGACATACCAGTTGAGTGCATTTCTTATCTACATATATGATATGAGGACGTCTTGGATGAGTCAACCTCGAATGTTTTTATAAAAAGCATGTTTTATCGTATTTTGAAAATATTTTCATAAAGTTTATGAAAATGATTTTTACGAATGGTTTTAGGGTATGAACTTCCCTAAAATGAATGGATGTGTTTCATACAAATTATTGTTTATTGATGGTTTGGAATAAGTGTTTAACCTGTGATTTGGATTTTAAAGCCTACTTATGTACATGGAGAGCTAAAGGTGCAAAAATAATACCATAATCAGGTGGTATTGTAATAGTACTTTGTGTACTTTAGCACTATGCATGTCATTGGCATACTTGGTGCGAGATGGATATATACCGATTTAGAAAATGCTTATTGCATTTTCGTAAGAGTAGTTTGTGTACTTGGAGTAATACTTTGTGTACTATGGCAAGAGTACTTTGTGTACTTGGAGTAATACTTTGTGTACTTGTAGTAGTACTTTGTGTACTATGGCACTTTGTGTGCAAGGATAGTAGTCGTACGAGATTATTATTCCGAAAGTGGTTAGTTTCATGTTATGGTGCACCTTTCTTTCTTAATTGTCATACATTGGGTTATGAAAGGATATTTTGGAATATACTGATTTATAAGTATGCTAGGCTTACAAAATACTATTTAGCATGTTATTGACGAAAACTTGGCTTATCAAGTTAGTTTTTATGCATTTATGCATTTTATAAGATAAATCATATTTTGATCTTATAATAGTTTACTCATGTTTTTA